AAACATAACAATATTGGTAGTGATTAGCTTGAGATAGCAGAATCAAGATGCTTATTACTGAATTTCCCACAGTTTAACATTTCTAAATTTCTAAAGTATTTTCACTGTGCAAAATGCAAGTGAAGTCAAATGAAAAACAGAAGAACAACTGTGGCCACTAGCAACACTTTCTATGCCTTGTGTGTGAATGTATGTATACGTGTGTGTACATGTTATGTGTACAGCCCTGTATGTACATGCATGTGTGGTTGCATGTGTGGCATGTGCTATGTTAATGTGAAGGTCTGAGTGCTGTGTGTATGTATACACATGGACTCACATTGCACATACATTTTCCAATTAACAACCTGTCATTTCTGAGTGCAGGTCTCTGTCTTAACATGACACTTTAAGGTGCTAGGCTTTGGTTTGCTTGTTCTCCCCAAAGGGAGCTAGTGTTGTTCTGTGGTGTCTCTTCTATAACTTACCTATGAGACATCAAGTTGTGGGCCAACTTCCTTTATTCGGGTAATCTCACACTGATAGCTGTCACCTGAGAATTCTCTTTTTTTTTTTTCCACCTAGAAACCAGAATCCACAAACCCTCTGCTTTCTTGAATAGTGCATGAAAACCTACTTGTCCTTAACTCCTGCCTTAGGCTCTGGGCATTTGTTGCTTCTACACCTGGAATGTTCTTTCCTGTGTTACCTGTTTCCACCTGCCTCCCTGTGGACCTCTCTCAAATACAGGCTGTGGCGGGCAGAGTTTGACTTGCAGAGGTGAACCCCAGAACCCACTACAGCACCTGGCACACAGCAGACACAAAGTCAACACAATCCCAACAACAAGGGAGAGATTAAGTACCCAAGGAGCTACCCAGGTAAGATAAGTCTCTGAAAAAAAAAAAAAAAAGGGAGCAGAGGGGGCAGGTGAGTGGGGTGGGTGGAGCCTCAGAACAGGAGTAGGCCAACAGGTGAAGAAGATGAAAGAGGCAATGGAGGAGGCTGAGGCAGGTTCTCTAGGGTGTTCTCTGTCCTCACAGTGTACCAATAGCCTCAGGTAGAATTCATTTAAAGCAATTCACTGGTACAAAAACAGTTCAAGCTAGTTCAGTCCAATTAACATCAGTACAAACCAGATGAACACTAGTGAGGTCAACATAAGACTGACAGAAGCCAGTATGGATGGATGTGAGTCTCCTGAGGGAACTCTAGGTAAAATCTGTCCCTTTAGCCCAGGTGATCACCTTAGTCAGCTCTTGTGGGGACATCCCAGGCTCATTCTCATCCTTTCACTGCCTCCCTCCCCCAGGTGGAAGAGACAAAAACCAGGACAGTTGTGGGTTTCTTCTACATCTTCAGCACTTCGGGGTTGTTGTAGGGGGAATAGTTTTGTCAATGCTCTCAATAGCTTTTTATTCCCTCCTTCCTTTGACAGAGAGTTCTAAGTCTGTAGCTGTTTGGTTGTTTTTGCCTGGGACATTTTCTTTTTCTTTTTTTTAAAAAGATTTATTTATTCATACAGAACTGGGGTACAGGCCAGAGATGTGGAGGGTGAGAGGATTCGCCAGAGACAGACTGGGGAGTAGAACAGGCCGACTGATGAAGTACACTGCTGAGGGGAGCAGCAGGCGGGTCAGGAGAGGCCTGCCAAGCCATGTGGATCTCCTCCAGGGTAGCCAGGATGGAAGTCATGTGGAAGTGGCTTAAGCTTTTTAGTGCTGTGCTTTAACCTGCTGCACCACTAGGGAGGGCCCCATTTTCTTCTTTTTTTTTTTTAGATTTATTTATTTATTCATACAGAGCTGGGGTACAAGCTAGAGGTGCAGGGACAGTGAGAGGATTCACCAGAGACAGAGTGGGGAGCAGAACAGGCAGATCCACGAAGTACACTGCTGAGGGGAGCAGCGGGCGGGTCAGGAGAAGTCTGCTGCACCATACCATGTGGATCACCTACGGGGTGGGGATCAAACTCACACTGAAGCAGCTGTGGCCAGCAGCCAGCATGCACTGCTGCCTACTAACCCGTTGTGCCACCAGGGAGGGCCCCTGCCTGGGACATTTTCAACCCTCCCACCTGCCTAATGACCAAAATGATTATGCTCATTCATGACGCTGCCATGCAGCAGCTTCTCTAGAATTCCTAGTTAGGGATAGGAGCAGGTGGAGTTGCTAATGGTTTTATAAGAGGGATAAACAGTGAGAGAGCTGGTGCTATTGGGTATGGGCATGGCATTGACCCTGCCTTGGAAACACCACAGACCCAAGGTGCAAAATTGGGGCTGCTAATCTCAAAGACTCTTCAACACCTTCCCCAACACCTACTCAACTCAATTGTTCCTCTGAAAACTGGAGGGTGCACTCTTTCATAAGGGCCCTCAGGATTCTGTGGACTCCCTTTTGTTGTCTGGCATCTGCTGGGGGGGGGGTCCCACTAAGTCCCAATGGGGTCAGATTGCCTCCTTTAATTTTTTTTAAAGATTTCTTTATTTGTGCATACAAAAATTGGGGTGTAGGCCAGAGGTGCAGGGGTGAGAGGATTCACCAGAGACAGAATGGGGAGCAGAACAGGCAGACTGACTAAAATACACTGCTGAGGGGAGCAGCAGGCCAGTCAGGAGAGTGTACCGTGCCATGTGGGCCGGCTCCCAGGCTGGAGCTTGAACTTGTGCTGCAGTGGCTGCAGACAGTTTCATAGTGCTGGGATTTAACCACATGCACCATCAGGGAGGCCCTCCTTCTTTGATCTTATGGCATGTGGCTTGTACCCTTGTTCTTCAGTATTTTTTTTAAAACTGGTTCTTGGTCATTTAGTAATTAGTGGAAGGGAGAAGATGAGTTCTGTGATCTATCTTCAATGTGGAATCTTTACCCAGAAGTATCCAGGAACATCTCCATTTCTCTGTGTGTAGAAATATGCTGGTAACCTATAAAATTGTAAATTTTCTAGGCCACATTAGTAAGGCATAAAGACACAGATGAAATTCATTTGGTATTTTATTTAAACAATATGTCAAACACATTATCATTTAACACACAAGCAAAGTCTAAGACTACTACTGAGATATTTTACACTTTATTTCATACTTGGCATTTCTAGCACACAATAGTTAAATCTGGCCAATTGTGGTAGGAGATAGCAGTTGCCATAGAGAAGGCACTTTTGGATCACTGGGGACCTCTACCCTCTCTCTTCCTCCTGCCCCACTGAGAAAGATGACAACCCTTTCTCTCACTTCTGTGGAACAGATATCCTTCTTAGGAAAAAAAAATAATATATACACCAAAGATGACTCTTTCTATAAGCTAACAAAAACAAACAAAACCTCACACCTCTTACACTTAAGAAGCAACCAGGGTAGACATAAACTTCATTACAAATTCAATAAAACTGAGAGCACACAGTGCCATTTCTATTAATATATTCTCATTAAAATGGCCATGCACCAGAGTTTTTTTTTTTTTTCTTCTTCTTCTTTGTCCTGATGAAGGTTTCTTCCTCAGGAGACAGTGTGGCAGGCTGGAAGAGCCCAGGATTCAGTTTTAAGAAATGGCTGCTTGGGGGAATCTTTATGATTCTTCCCTGATCTCATCAGCCTTCTCATCCATTCCAGCTTTGCTGGCTCTTCCTAAAGCAAGGTTGATAACAGCTTCCTTATCTATCTCACAGGGTAGTTTCCACAGGTAAGAAAGATAGCAGGGCCTTCCTGGTGGTGCAAAGGGTTAAAGTGCAGCACTATCAAGCTATCTGCTATCTGCAGTCAGGCAGTCAGGGCAGTCAGGGCAGCAAGAGTTTGATCCCCCGCCAGGGAGGTGACTCACAGGAGGCAGCAGACCTCCTTATCTCACCCACTGCTTCCCCTCAGCAGTGTATTTCAGTGGCTCCTCCTGTTCTGCTCCCCACTCTGTCTCTGGTGAATCCTCTCACCGGCTCCCTCCCAGCACCTCTGGCCTGTAAGCCAGTTCTCATAATAAATCTTTAAAAAAAGAGAGCTAGCTAAATAGTAAAGGGCAGGGCTCTACACGCAAAACCCACACAAGGTGGCCTGCTGTTTCTCAGGGACGATCCAAGGAGGTGTGGGTCTAAATCAGCTGGAACTGGAGCAATAGATGGCACACCCCACGGCTGCTGGGTTATAGGGCAACGGGGAAGCTGCCAGCAGAAGGATCCTGCAGGCAGGTTCTGAAAGCACCAGGCCTCCAGGGCGCAGCCCGGCTGGAACTTGGCCTGACCTCACTAAGGGAGAAGTGCACGGCAGCCCTGGGCAGGGCCTTACAGCTCAGTAATCCCTAGAGGTATTTGGGGGTGGGAGGTGGCGCGGCGGCAAAGGAGAGCCCGGCCTGGGACTCATGAGAGTCGCGATGCAAAAAGTAACCAAGTGCACATGAGAGGTGGTCTGTCTGGGACCGGCCGGAGGGACGGGAGCATCACGAGGATTGCCCCCGGATAAAGCGACACCGGTCGGAAAGCCTGACAAGCGCCGATGGAAGTGGGGCTCCCTGGAGGGCCAGAGCCACCTGACACAAGGCCCTCTCCGAGACAAGGTGCCCTGCGGAGCTGGAGCCCTCCCCAAGTAGGGGACCCTCCCTACGATGGACCTCCCAGATATGGGGAGGTCCCTCAAATGGGGGACCTCCATGAGATGGGAAGGCTCCTGGAAGACGGGGTCCTCCTAGGGATACGGGTCCTCACCCTCCAAGCGGAGGTCCCCGCCTCCGCCTAGCCTCTCCCTCCCCTCCCCCCTCCGGGCGCGCGCGCCGTAGGGAGCCCCACCCGTTCACCCAACTCCCCCTCACTCCCCCCTCCCCGGCAGGGGTGTCTCGGCCTCGGCTCGCGATTGGCTAGAATCCCAGGCAGGCCTCTTCTTCATTGGTCTAGTGGCTTCAGGCGGTCCTCTCCGGATTGGTGAACGTCCGCGTTGCTCCCGACCCCTACCCCGGACGCGGCACGCGATTGGCTGGCGTTGGCACGGTCTTGGGGTGGGCCTGGGCTGCGCCGACAAGGCCTCTGGCGGCGGCGGCGGCGGCGGCGGCGCGCGCGCGGCAGGTGAGCTCCGGGCGGGGCTCGGGGGCTAGGGTCGGGATTCTGGGGGGCCCGGGATGGGTCCAGAGGGTGTGGTCTGGGTCTGGTGTCCTGTCGGAGGCTGGGAGCGCGGACCCGGGATGGCGGGGACGAACCCCACCGCGGGCCCAGCCTGGGCCGCCAACGGTCGCTGCGCCCGGCCCGCGCCCCCTCCTTAGTTCTGGGACCTTCAACCCGGCCCGTGTCCCCTCCCTAGCAGCAGGAACCCCACTGGCGACCCACGCCCCCTCCTAAGCCCCGAAATCCTCAGCCTCGGCCTTTGCGCCCTACAAAGCACCAGTACTGCTGAGCCCGACCGGCATCTCCGTCGACCCGCGCGGCTCCTCCTCAGCACCAGGATTTCCAGTCCTACCTCCGGCCCCTCCACAACCCCAAGACCCTCTCCACCTCGCCCCTGCGTGCCCCTCCTCGTCTCTAGGGCTGGGAAACCTGCCCCCCGTCTTCTCAGCATCAGGACCCATAACACCAGCCAGTGCCCCCTCCACAGCCCCGGGACCCCGCCCCACCACCTCACCAGTGGGGGCCCCCAGTCCCCTTTCCTCAGCGTTCGAGGTGCTGGGTGGGCAGTAGGGGCGCTGTGCCCACTCCAGGACAACCGTGCGTGGGGCACAGAGGCCCCAGCAAGGTTCCTGCAAGTGAGCCCGGCGGTGCTCGACCTCGCGCCGCACCCAGGTGGACGGCCTGTCACACCGTCCAGCCTCTGTACAACACAGCAGTGTGACCCCTTGGTGCCACTGCCGTTCCTTGGCCACGTTCAGAGGTCCTTGGCTGTCCCTAGCGGTTCGTTATTTATGTATCTCCAGGGTGAAACTGGTTCCAGCTGTGCAGGCATTGCTCTGGTGGTCTGGGCTTCCCGGGTTGCTGCTGATGCTCCGAAATCCTTTTATGGAATCCTTTATAAACAGTCTTTTTTGACTCATCAATGTTCAGAAGCAGCATGTTTTGGGATCTGTTTTCATCTGCCTCATCGACACTTAAGAGTTCCTTGAAGTCTGCACACTCGGGGTGGTTCTGTAGAATTTTCTGAAATTTTCTTTGACAGTTTTTTCCATTTAACCTTCTCTTAGTTTTCTCCTTTCTTTGTGTTTTAGAAATACTGTTCTTTGGCATTGGACTTCATGGACTGGCTTTCTATTTTTTAAAAATTAATTTTTTCTTACTTTGTGTTCTACATTCTAGGATATTTCCTCAACCTCCCCCAACTATTTAGCATTTTATTTTGGCCACCACAGTTTAAAATTTCCAAAATTTTTTGTTTTCTTTCTCAAAAAATGTAGCAGCAAAATCTTATTTCATAAGTAGAGTCTCCTTCAGTGGCCTTCTGTTTTGCTTATTTTAGTCTGATTTTCCTGTAATGTGGGATGTTTGTGCTGGAATACATCCACCTAAAAGTGGGGCACTCTACATTCTTGGAAGTTCTGCGAACTGCCTGTGTTTCACTATTAACAGTCATTTCCTATTCTGTACTCTCCTCAGCCTCTGGCTACTAATAGTCTGTTTTCTGTTTTAGATTTTTCATGTAGATGGATTCATGCCATATGTGTTTTTTTGTGTCTGGCTTCTTCGCATTATATTTTCTAGGTTCATCCCTGTAGCATGTAATTCCATTTGTGACTGAATAACATTCATTGTATGAATACATCACAGTTGCTTCATCCATTCATCAGTAGATATTTTGTCTTTTATGAATAATGCTGCTGTGAACTTTGTATAAACTTTTTGTTTGAGCCCCTGTTTTCATTGTTTTGGGTAGATACCTAGGACTGGAATTGCTGCATCATATGTTGTTATGTTTGTACAGCAGAATCACCAAACTTTTTCATACTGACTGTACCATTTTACATTCCCAGCAGCACTGCATGAGGCTTCCAGTTTCTCTACATCCTCTCCAACACTTGTAATTTTCTGTGTTTTTCCCCTAATGGCCGTCCTAGTGTGGTGAAGTAGTAATTTCATTTTGATATGCATTTCCTTAATGTCTAATGATAATTAGCATCTTTTCGTGTGCCTCATATGTTTATTTCCTGTGGAGAAGTGTCTGTTCAGTCCTTTGCCCACTTTAAAACTGAGTGGTCTTTTGTTAAGGTGCATGTACTTTTTTCCATTCTTTGTGTTGAGAGTTCTTTATTCTCTCAATAGTGTCCTCTGAACAAAAGTTTTAACTTTGATGAAGTCCAGTTTATTTTTTTCTTTTGTTCATGTGTTTGGTGTCATATTTAAGGAACCATTGCCAAACCCAGAGTCATAAAGATTTGCCCCCTTTTTAAAAAAAAATTCTTTTTTTAAAGATTTATTTATTTGTACATACGGAACTGGGGTACAGGCCAGAGGTGCAGGAGCTGTGAGAGGATTCACCAGAGACATTGTGGGGAGCAGAAAGTCAGATTGTCGAAGTACACTGCTGAGGGGAGCAGCGGCTGGTCAGGAGAGGTCTGCCTCGCCCTGCTGGGCCTTGTGGATCCCTCTGGGGAGGCAGGTATTGAACTCATAGGGAAGTGGCTTTAGATTCTTAGTGCTGTGCTTTCTGCGCCACCAGGGAGGGCCCCTTACCCCTGTTTTTATCTAAGAATAATTTTAGTGCTCACCTTTAGGTCTGTGTTCTGATTTGACTTAATTTTTGTTTATTTGTGAGATAAAGGTCCAGTTTCCTTCTCTAATTTGGGAACATGCATTTTCCCCAGCATCATTGTTGAAGAGTCTTTTCTTTCCCTGTAGAATGCTCTTGGCACCTTTGTGGACAATAAAATGACCTTGGTTTATTTATTTAATTTTTAATTAAAATTTTTTTTTAGTTTTTAAAAAATGATATAATCGTTTATTTTTACATCATTTTGTGCATTTTTCCGACTCAATGACCTTGGTTTATTTTTAATTTCACTTTCAGATTGTTTATTGTTAGTGTGTAAAAGTATAATTGATTTGGTATGTTGATCTTACATCCTGCAACTTTGCTCAACTTGTTTGCTAATTAAACTTTTTTTTGGTGAGTTCTTTACAGTCCTCTACATGTGAGATCATTTTATCTTTAAAAAAATATTATGCGTACAAGAACTGGGATGTAAGACGGGGTGTAGGCCAGAGATGCTGGTGGTGAGAGGATTCACCAGAGACAGTGGGGAGCAGAATAGGCAGATCTACTGAGATACACTGCTGAGAGGAGCAGTGGGCGAGACAGGAGAGGTCTGCTACACCATGTGGGTCAGCTCCCTGACCAACTGAGGATAGAACTAATGTTGGCAGTGGCTGCTAATGGCTTGAAGTGCTGTGTCTTTAACCCTTGCACCACTAGGGAGGCCCAGATAATGTTATCTTTTTTTTTTTTAAAGATTTATTTATTTGTGCATACAGAACTGGGATACAGGCCAGAGACGCGGAGGGTGAGAGGATTCACCAGAGACAGAGTGGGGAGCAGGACAGGCAGATCGACGAAGTACACTGCTGAGGGGAGCAGTGGGCAGGTCAGGAGAGGTCTGCCACGCCATGTGGTCACCTCCGGGGCAGGCGGGAATCGAACTCATGCGGAAGAGGCTTTAGATTCTCTGTGCTGTGCTTTAACCCGCTGCGCCACCAGGGAGGGACTCTTTTTTTTTTTTTTTTAATATTTATTTATGCATACAGAACTGGGGTACAGGCTGTGGCTGGGGGGTGGGATGAGAATACTCACCAGAGACAGAAATACACTGCTGAGGGGAGCAGCGGGTGGATCAGGAGAGGTCTGTTGCACCATGTGGGTCACCTCCTTGGTCGATCGAACTTGTGCTGCAATGGCTGCAGTAGCTTCATAGGGCCCAGATCACGTTATCTTTGAATTGAGGCAGTTTTAACTCCTGTCCTACTTGGAACTTCGAGTACAATCTTAAATAGCAGTAGTGAGACCAGGCATCTTTATCTTGTTTTTAATCCTAGAGAAAACTTCAGCTGTACATGATGCTAACAGTGAGTTTTAGTAAATGCCCTTTATTAGGTTGAGGAAGTTCCTCTTTATTTCTAGTCTTTGAATTTTTTTTATCAGGAAAGGGGGTTTTGACAAGTGCTTTTTATGTACGAATTTAGATAATCGCGTGTTTTTTGCCAAATTGCTTCTTAAACAGACTTTCATCATTTAATTACTCCTGCATTTTGGTTCCAGCTTATATATCCTTACTTCCAAATGTACATAGGTATCACTAATTGTACTAATTCTTAAGGCTTTGGGGGTTCCATGATGAAAATGGAATTATTTCTCAGTGTTCTTCTTGGTAAGCTTATGATTTGCCTTTTTCTTTTAACCTAAGTCAGTTTTCATTCACCTGTTTACTTTCTAACTTCCAAGTTTATTGCTGGTCTTTTTTCCCTTTCTTTTTGTTCATATGAATAGATGCCTTTGGGGAAAAGCTTTTTTAAAGAGAAATTTCTCTAAGAGAATGGAAGCTAAACATCTGTGCTTAACTGGAAATTCCTGGGTGACCTATTTTCAAAGAACACTGGTATTTGATGGAGTATGTACTCATAACCATTGTTTCCTGCTCCTGAATTTATGCTGGTTAAATGAGCTCTGGATTCTTAAAATAAAACCAGTTTGAATTTACTTGCAACAAATAAATGTTACCAAGCAACTTTTTTGGTAGGAGAGGATCTAGTTGAATGCCATCTATCCTTCAATGTTGCAGCCCTTTCTACATATTTCTATGGAAATGAGGTACATTTGTAGGTCCACTGCTGATTCAGGATAGGTAGCTCTGTATACATCACAAAAGGGAGTGCCTCATCTGGGTTCACAGATAGATGGGAATAATACATTGATGTTGGCCAAACACCAGTGTTATCAGATCCAACTTGCTGTGTAAGTTGGTCAGGGGGTGGCTGTTTGCATTGCGGCCCGCAGGAGAGTTGCAGTATTATTTAGCTGATTGAAAACACTAATTTTCTTCTTTACCTTGATTCCTAAACTCAGAACTCATTGCTATTTTTGGACTGCTTACCCC